TGTCTGACCACCTGTTTCACAAGGTAACCACACACACGCTTTGCTTCACCAACCTGCAGCCTGTCCCTTGTCTCCTTGCTTTTAACCACAGTCCCTTTCCTCCTAATTCCCAGTCATCCCTTAGATGTCATTCAAATGCCACCTCTCTGGGAACATTTGCCCTAACCAGCATTCCCTGCCATCCTCATCAGGTCTGGGCTCCTCCTCCTGTGTTCCCTGAACATTTAGGGAAAGCTCTTCCAGAGTGATTATCACCCTGTATAGGGAGAGCTAGTTTACACCTGTCTCACCTTTCTAGGGGGACCTCTCACTGTGTCTGTCATTCAGTCAATGTTGCCGGAAAGGTAGAGAATGAGGAGAGGGGATGCCGAAAAATCCAATGCAGACATAGCTACTTAATAAAAACTGTCATCTGGGGTCAAACCAAGAGCTCAACAGCCCAGTGTTCTGGCTCTAACAGCAGTTCCCGTGAATGTTCTGGAACGTGAGATAAAATCACAACGTGTCAAGCCGGAAGGGTCATTTAAGGTCATCTGATTTCACACTCTCATTTTAGAGAGGCAGAGCCGATTCCCTAGGTGACACAGCTTAGGAAAACAGAAAGGGGCTCCTAGACATCAACCACCCCCTTCTACACTTTCACTCTGCTGCCCCCTGAAGGGAGAACCGGGAGGGTTCCCCAGAGGCTGCTCCCTTAGAAATACATCATGGCTTCAGCATCTGAGATTAGTTTGAACACTTCTTCTTTACTAATTTATATTCTCAATATTCTCAGAGATAACAGATAACCTTATTTCACAAGTATCATGAAAAACCATGTAAAATTTGTGAATGGCTCTCTTTGTCGGAAAGTTTATCTTTATATTGAACACAAGTCAGCCTTGGGTGCAGTCTCGGTCTTGAGCATGTGGTAGAGCTCAGAACTCGACACTATTCGTTTTTTTTTTTTTTTTAAGATTTTATTTATTTATTTGACAGAGAGAGATCACAAGCAGGCAGAGAGGCAGGCAGAGAGAGAGGAGGAAGCAGGCTCCCCGCTGAGCAGAGAGCCCGACGCGGGGCTCGATCCCAGGACTCCGAGATCATGACCTGAGCCGAAGGCAGCGGCTTAACCCACTGAGCCACCCAGGCGCCCCACTATTTGGTTTTCAAAGATGAACTGTTTCTCATCATACTCTTCCTCTGCTGCCTGACATCACGTCCAAAGCTGACTCTCAGCCTGAGCCTTGCCCTTCTGTTTATATGAAACAGTGTGTCACCATTAGGGCCAATCTTGGTAACATCTCGTTCTTTTTTTCCTAGAACGTAGTTATCTCCTCAGCACATACGATGTCATGCACATTTTTTCGGAAACATATTTTCTCTTCTGATTTTTTAAACAAAGAATCTCTCCTTTTTTTTTTTTTTCTTCTAGAAATCTTTATTAAGTACCTGAAAGAATTTCCGTAATCCCTGACTTCAGCTTGCTCCTGGGAATTGTAGAAAGAAAAGACACAAAGCATTTGTCTGAGGTTTGAAATGTTCAATATGCAAATCTCAGTTTCCTGTCAGGACAGGCCCTGCTGGTGTGCATGAGGGACGCTTCCTCCTTTACTACATGGTGATTTACAGCCCTCTAGTGGCTCTTTCACGTAACATTATAAGGGAAGCTGAGGGCACTGAGGTATGGCTTTGTTCTTTTGTTTGTCCCTTCACTTGTTCCTCCCTCCCTTCCTTCATTCATTTACTCACTCAGTCATTCATTCATTCAATGTACATATGCCAGTGGAGTGCCCATTTCTGTTCCAGGCACGTTTTAAGAGCTGGAGATACTGTAGTGAACAAAATAGACAGAAACAAAAATCCCATGCATTAGTTAGACAAAGAAAACAGTGAATAGAACACATTTGGGGCAAAGACCAGGAACTTGATTTTGAACATGTTAAGTTAGAGATACTCACTAGTCTTCCCACTAGCTTCTCTCCAAAATTAGCTTGTGTCTCTGAGAACCCTCATAATGCAGATAATCTCTTTATTTGGGATTTCACCACATTTCTGTTAAAACTGATCACATGAGTAAGAAGACCGTGAGGACAGTGAATTTGACCCTGGGTGTGAGCGAGAAGTTCACGCCTTGGCCCCGTTCTCATGGAACTGCTCAGCTCTTAGTTCTCTGTTCAATGTTATCTTGGTTTCTGTCTCAGTTCTCTATTTTCTTTTTTTTTTTTAAGATTTTATTTATTTATTTGACAGACAGAGATCACAAGTAGGCAGAGAGGCAGGCAGAGAGGGGGAGGGGAAGCAGGCTCCCTGCTGAGCAGAGAGCCCGATGTGGGGCTCGATCCCAGGACCCTGGGATCATGACCGGAGCTGAAAGCAAAGGTTTTAACCAACTGAGCCACCCAGGCACCCCTCGGTTCTCTATTTTCTTAATTCTGACCACAATTTGTAATGGTTGAGTTTCTCTGTGCACGAGGCACACCAGTACATCTCTCTTCTCCACCCTCAGGACTGCATGTGAGTCCTACTCACTGGGGTATCTTCGGCACCTGGCAGGGTCTCAGTTTATGTTTGTTGAAGATTGAGAGTTTTTGTTGTAATAAGTCAGAGAAGATAGAGCTACACAAGACGCTAGGGATAAAGACTAGACATATTCTGAATGAGTAAAAAGCACAGTTAATTCCTCTTTTAGGAGAATACCGTGGGTTGAAGGGAGTAGGGAAATTTTCAGGGAAGAAACCGGGTGCAATCCGAGTCTTAAAAAATTGGCAGACAGTGGAGGAAGGAGAGAGGAAGTGATGGGGGAAGGGATGTTTTCCTGTACCGTGTTCCTGATTGGCCTGCATATGCTCCTTGGCCTCCAGTGTGTCTGTTCTAGTGTCCAGTGGAGTTCTGTCCAGCAGAGTATCCAGTGGACTCTGCTGGGCTGTCTTGCCCCTTACTGCCCCCCAATGGTATGGACTAACTTTGGCTGGTTGTCAGGGTTTGTCCTGCCATGTCTATGTTACTTTTTCCTTTATCATTGTGATCAAGGCTCCCGTGTTTCTTCTCTAATGAACACCTAGCATATCAACGCCTATCATCACACCTGGCACATAGTAAGTGCTCAATAAATATTTGTTGAATGATCATATGTGTCTAGATGCCACTCTCCATACTCCTGGGATGGCCGTCCTCCAATATTTTCTGCCACGGGGCTGGGGCATTTGAAACATGTGTACTTCAGGGCTCACTCCAGATCCTTGCATGATTATTAATAAACTACTTTCTCATACTTTCATTTAACAAAAATTTATTGCATGCCTCCTTTTATAGGACCTATAATGGCTGCAAGGAGCTTGGAGCTGAGCTACTGCCAGACCCATGTAAACAAATAATGATAAATAACAAGGGAAATATTGATTTATGTACAAGGGGGTCTGTGAACACTGTAAATGGAAAAATTGCTTGTTTTAGCAAGCTAGAAGGGTTTCCTAGGGTATAGGAAAGTAAGTTGGTATTGAGTATCAAAAGACAAGTTGTATCCTCTGGACAGACTTGGGGTGAATGAATGGTTAAGGGACAGTATTCCAGGCAAGCAGAAAAACAGGTACAAAGGTGATGGTGGTGGTGGGAGCTGAGAAAGTGTGCCAGGTTTGGAGAACTGGGGCAAAGCCAGAGAGCAGAAGAGTGGCCAGAGAGAAGGTGCAGGACTGGATTTGGGGCAGACCAAAGAGCATCATGCATATCAATCTTTAAGAAGTACTAAAATAAGAAATACAATGTCAATTAGCTCAGACACTTGTGGCTCTTTACATAACTTTTGAAACCTAAATTGGTCCTATTCCCTTGAGGTAAGACAGTGTCCTTGAATGTTATTTTAATAATGCTTCTGGCTGGCAATTCCAATTATGCTATATTCAGTGCACGTAAGAAATTCTTTATTTTTAACAGAAACTGGTTTGTAATTCTTAATAGAAAATCAAGTTCCTTTCAACTCCATGTTGAACAGATATTTAAAGAAAATTGACCTACTTATGCACTGCCAAATTATTAGTCTTCTGATAATGGACTATTTCTCCTTCGAGGCCTGGCCCCCCTTCCAGGTAAAAACGGTACTCTTTGATCTGCCTAGGTGAGCGAGGCACCGGGAAGAAGCTATAGCTTATGACCTATTGTCAATTAATTATGTGTTTGGCACCCCAAATAACCTATGTGGTAGTCTTTTCTAATAAAAAAATTTTTGTAGGAGTCTTAAAGGTAAACCTGACTGTCTCTGTCCTAGAGCCACCATATTTTGCCGGGTATTCCAAAATATCAAGGACTTCCATATTCTACACTGAGGTTTTGCATACATCCTGCGCAAACAGGACTCTAAATTTAGTGTTCAAAAATACAGTCTCTCTATGATGACTACACCCTAACGTCGTGCGTAAGCTTTAAGTCATTTCTATGAGCATCTACTGTTTTCAAATCGATTTCTTCTCTTCCTGGCTGTTGGACCTAAAGCAAATAATCTAACCTTTCTGTGCTTCCATTTCCTCATGGGAAAGAACACTAATTCCCACATTATAGCTCTGTGCTGAGGAATAAACGAGACAACACGTGTGAAGCGCTTGGCACAGCCCCCGACCACAGTCTGAATCGTTCACCTATCTTCAGCAGAGCTTCTGTACTCTGCATCTCAGCACTGAGCCCCCAGTCTGCCGTGTGACCCCGCCCAGGCTCAGGGTTCAGGAACCCAGGAGGACGGCGTGTGCAGAAGAGAGTGCTTAGTGTAAGGGGTCAGAGTGCAAAGGTCAGAAGGTGGCTGGTGGCAGCAGTGTGCAAAGAAGTCCGAGGAGAGGTCCCCGGACTGGACTTCGATTACTTTCGATTACCTTGGCGACTTCAGCGGGAGGAAGAGACTTGCGGAGGCCCGCCTACACCCGCTTCCTATCCCCTGCCTCTTTTTGGTTTAGCTCCGCCCCTTTCTCCCGACGCGAGCGCTGGGCTGAGCGGAAGCCGGCGCCGACAGCGACGCCGATGCGGTTGCCTAGCGACGCGCCTTTCCCAAGATGCCTAGAATGTTGTGTTCTTTTAACCAATCAGGGAGGCGAAGCCATCTCACCGCGGGCCAATAGGCTGCCAGGCCAGGGCCCGCGTCGGTTAAACCGGGCTGGAGACTGGTGCGGCCAGGTAGGTAGTGTGGCTCGGAGACCCCTGCGAGCCGGCGGAGCGACCTGCAGGAGGTCTGCGGAGGGCCCGGCCATGCCCACTCGGGCGGAGGACTACGAGGTGTTGTACACCATTGGCACGGGCTCCTATGGCCGCTGCCAGAAGATCCGGAGGAAGAGCGACGGCAAGGTGAGCGCGGGCCACCTCCGTGTCTCCGCCCCTGCAGCGGTTTCGCCCGCCTGCGGCGAGCGCCCTCCGCCCCTGGGATGGCGGAAGAGCGGGAGGCCTGGGGCTGTGGGTCTCCAAGGCGGGTTGCCTGGAAGAGCTCATCTCTTCCAGGTCTGTGTCTACCCTGGGTCGCGCAAGGGCTGGGAGACTGCATCTGTTAAGATCTCTCTGTTTTTGTTTTCTTCCCTTTCTCTCTTTTTCCCGCTTTGACTTGCTAAGGGCCTCCCATTAGTGACAGGTCGCTGAGTCTTGAGCTCTTTCAGAGTAGAGTATCCTCTTGGACATGGGAAAGAGGCAGGATCGGCAGAACCTGGAGATTTTGTCTCGCAGTCAGAACTCATTTAAAATACCCATTCTTCGGATTTTTGGATTCTTAATTTCCCAGTGTGTGTAGGTAGATCTTATACAGGAAGAAACAATGGAGAGGAAACTGCTCGACTGCTGACGGAGGGATCTTTACTAAGGTCTCTCACCCTGGAAAAGTTTGGTTGGAATGATGAGGGACTTTGCCTCTGCTCCAGCTTTGACCAAAGTACCTTGCCACAAAGCAACTGAGGGTAAGGGGTTGGGGGTTGGGGGAGGCCTAAAGTGCCTCATCCCGCTCTCTCTCGCTGCATAATTTATTGATTGAAATTTAGGGTAAAGTTACGGAAATAAACGCAGGGGTTCTAAAGTTCATTGAAATAAATAAATTAGATGGTAATGATCGTGTGCGCTATTTAATAGAGAAGTGACTTCAAAAATTTTTAAATTTTAGAATGTTCATTCTTTGTCTTTGAGAATAAAGAGTTCACTCATACCTTGGAAATTCTTACTTCAGATATTAGTTTGGAAGGAACTTGACTATGGCTCCATGACAGAAGCTGAGAAACAGATGCTTGTTTCTGAAGTGAATTTACTCCGTGAACTGAAACATCCAAACATCGTCCGTTACTATGATCGAATTATTGACCGAACCAACACAACACTGTACATTGTAATGGAATATTGTGAAGGAGGGGACCTGGCTAGTGTAATTACAAAGGGAACAAAGGAAAGGTAAATTAATCTTTTATTCTTAAGCTGAGAATGAGCCAAGTTTCATTTTTGTTAAGCATCCTGTTGTAGGACTGGGGATGGAGTACTTAGTAATGTAAAAGACTGTTCTTGTATTTGTTTGTTTGGTGGGTCCACAGTGCTTTAGAAAATCCCTGGTGAATGAACATCCCTATCTCATATTGAAAATTTATTTATTTTATTTATTTCCCTATTTGTACACTTCGAAAACTAGATACTTCACATAATCCCATCTTTTTAACGGTTTTGTTCAGAAGTTATATATATATATGTGGTAAATTAATCTTTATATATATAATATATGTATATATAATGTATTCGTATATAATATATAATATATTTTATTAATGTATATTAATGATTAACAATGTATTGATAATTAATAGTATATTAATAATATAATACATGTATGTAGTATATGTATACACACACACACACACACATATATATAGTAACACAAAGCTGTATAACTGCTTTGGTTTCAGACAATACTTAGATGAAGAGTTTGTTCTTCGAGTGATGACTCAGTTGACTCTGGCCCTAAAGGAATGCCACAGACGGAGCGATGGTGGTCATACCGTGCTCCATCGGGATCTGAAACCAGCCAACGTTTTCCTGGATGGCAAGCAAAACGTTAAGCTTGGCGACTTTGGGCTAGCTAGAATTTTAAACCATGATACGAGTTTTGCAAAAACATTTGTTGGCACACCCTATTATATGTCTCCTGTAAGTACTTCAGCATTTAGATACTTTTTAAACATCCTAATGCTAAGCATTCAAATGCGGGGAAATTGAAGTTTTGTTTATTTCTTTGCTTAGTAATACACAATAGCCAAGAAATAATCATGTTGTTCATTTTACGGGAAGAAAATTTACATTTTTCCAAATGGATCATCAGACTGTTAAATTCTTCTGATGAGCAATTAAAGTGAAGGTTTTTTTTTTTTTAAGATTTATTTATTTATTTGAGAGAGCATGTGAGCACCTGAGTGGAGGAAAGGGCAGAGGGAGAGGGAGAGAATCTCAAGCAGGTTCCCAGCTGAGAGCAGACCTCAACTCGGGGTTCAGTCCCAGGACCCTGAGATCATGACCAGAGCTGAAACCAAGAGTCAGATGCTTACCTGACGGAGCCACCCAGGCGCCCCTAAAGAGAAGCTTTTATTGAATGACTGCTATGTGCCAAGTGCTGGGATTACGAAGATGAAATGGGTTTTGTCTCTGGCCTCAAGAGCAACATTTCCTAAAGTGCCATGGGTCCTATACACCAGCTTGGACTTATTTGGAGGGTTTGTTTAAAATGTAAAGTCCTGGGCCCCAAACCCAAATCCAGTGACTGGTTCTTGCACTGGACTTGGATTCTGCTTCCCGCAACACCTTCCACTTTTCACTTTGGACTCTGCCTTTTAATACACTCTCTAGATGGTTCTTGGGCATGCAGATTCAGGGTTCAGTTCAGATACATGTTTTTACAGTGTTCACTTCTTGCTTTTTTTAATGCCTTTTTGGGCAGGGGAGCTGCAGCCCACCCACCTTAAGTCTCATTCCCTCTGTTGCTGGATATTTTGTTTCCAAAATTCCTTATCCTTCTAAAGAGCCCTGCTCTGCATACCTTTTTGTGAATTGTTCTTTTTGGTTATTTCCTTGGCATGTGGCTCTCAATGAAATTGAAAGGTCAAAGGATATGAACTGTTTATGGCTCTGTAGATATTACCTGATGGCTCTTGGAAAGCTTGAAGCAGTAAATGCTATTACCAATGTGTTGTATATGAAATCTGAGCAGATCAAGATGGGGATTTCTTCTTCTTCTTCTTTTTTTTAACAGTTCACAAACATTTCCAGGATTTTCAAGATCTTTTTGATTTATTTTCACCAAGCTGACTATAGTATAAAACTTTGCAAATTAACAATTTTGCTTTTGACTATGATTAGACACTGCCAGAACCCTGTCATTTTCTCAGTGGATCAGATTCCAAATAGAAAGGCTTTCACTTAAAGGAAAATCATCCAGAAGGGGTTCTTAGAAAACTTGAAACCTTGTGATTCTTTTGTTCCTTTTCCCTCCTGCCCTTATAATTAGATCAGTTCAGCCCTCCATAAGGCATTGATTGTCAGGAAATGGTATCAGATTCACCTGCTGGGAGTTTAAAAAAGCAAGACGCTTCTTGAAGGTTTTGGTACTTGATTCTGTGCCCTGTGTTGAGAATAAGAACTATGGTAGACTATTACTTTATGTGTGGGAGACAGGCAAATGATTAAACTAGAAAATGAGAATATTAGTTGATACTGTGATTTATACTGTGGACTGAGGGAAAATACATAAATGGATAATTCAATTAGCCATTTATACTTCTGTCATTTAAATGGCCAGATATATGTATTGGTTATTCTGAAATTTTCTCTAGTTCTTTTAAAATGAGTTTCTAGATTATGAATGCCTTCAGGGTAGAGGTTTGAATTATCAGCCCTTGATCTATTGTAACACAACAACATTTGTGAATGAAAAATAAGTGAGTGAATTATATAGGACAAAGTATATTAGGATAAGATCATTATCTTTTTTCCATTATACATTTGAAAATAAAATACAAAGTACCATCTCTTTTTATTATGATACAGGTTCAGACATAAACTGAATGGGTCTTTTTATTTAATATTTTTGTTACAGATATAAAATATAATATAAAATATTTTCCTTTTTTTTTTTTTTTCTCCAAGTCAATATATAATCAAACTTAAAGATTCCATTTTTATCTCAGGTCATTTTGTAAGTTTTAAAACAGACTTTTAACTCCTACATTTTTACCCTTTCCTTCCCCTTTAGGAACAAATGAATCGCATGTCCTACAATGAGAAATCGGATATCTGGTCGCTGGGTTGTTTGCTGTATGAATTGTGTGCATTAATGTAAGTATGATGAAGACAGATTTCTGGTGTGAAGTTCATAGTCACAGAGGCTTGTCGCCTTTCACTGCGTTCAGCTTTTTGAGCATCCATGTGTTTTCAAGTCTGAAAGACTCATACCTTGGGTTAAAATTAAGGTAGATGGACAGTGCAGACCTTGTACCCGCGAAACAAATAATACATTATATGTTAATAAAATAATTTTTAAAAAAAGATGGGCTGGTTAAAAAATTATTTACAAATTAACAGTGTAACCCCTGAGGCTTTTAACCTGGTTTGATGCGTCCCTTGCCAGACTGATGCTTAGCTCAAGGGGAGAACAATACATCAGTCTGGCCTATGGAAGAAATGAAACAGAAATCTAGGGGAGAGGTCTGGGGAAATAGAGAACAAGAAAGAGCTCCCATTCTTTTCCTTTTTTTCTTTCTAAACTATTCTGTAGAGCAGTGGTTCTTAGCCAGGGAGCGGGAAACAATTTTGCCGTCCAGGGGACATTTGACAATGACCGGAGATCTATTTGGATGTCACAGCTAGGAATAGCTACTGGCATCTCATGAATAGAGGCCAGCGGTGTTACAAAACATAGTCGTCGGATGCACAGGACAGGCCCCCTAACAAATATTCTCTCACCCTAAATGTCTAATGCCAAGGTTGGGCAACTTAGCTGTGGAAGACAGTCCCGGAAGACACATAAACACAAACTGGAGCTTAAACTGTGCTCTTGATTTGGTTCCTATTCTGTATTTTCATTTTTACATTAAAAACATTTTTCCCCCAGGCCTCCATTTACAGCTTTCAACCAGAAAGAACTAGCTGGCAAGATTAGAGAAGGCAAATTCAGGCGAATTCCCTATCGTTACTCTGATGAATTGAATGACATAATTACGAGGATGTTAAATTTGAAGGTAAAGACCATAAGATTATATTGTCTGTCTCTCGATTACGTTGTAGAGTAGCATATTTTCTCTCTCGGAGCACTGAGACTGAAGCGGCATTAGCTGTATTTCTTTAGCTAAATCTATTCTGTTAACCCAAGTGAAAACATGTAAATTGGCAAATTGTGCCTCCTGGCTGGCCTACCTTCTGTGCTCTCTTTTGTCTCCTCCCTCTCTCTCTGCCCTACTAGCAGATGGTAGCAAAGCAAGATTACAGAAAAGCTCCAAATCCTCAGTTCCCTCATCTACCTCAGTGTGGCATGTGGCAAGGGAAGGGGCCACAAATAGAAGACTTCATTACCCTGCCCCTCTCTCCAGATCAGAGACCAGAGGTGGGGCAGGGGAGGCCTGGCTAGAAAGAGTCAAGGGGAAATAAAGAGATTCGGTGGAAAAACTCTGGCCATGGGATGCGAAGGGAGGTGTCCTAGGGTCAGGTTGATGTAAGAGCAGGATTTCAATGCTGTGGAATTACAAAGCAGGATAATGGCCACCTAACAGAACTGAAGTTCAGGGAGAGAGAAGTTCAGGGAGAGAGGATCTCACTTAAAGCAGTACTGGGGATGCAAGGCAGGACGTGCCCTAGAGCGGATCTGGACATGCACCAAGCACCAGCTCAGGGACCGAACTTTGGTTAGAAAGGCTAAGCGGGAACAAAGGTAAGCTCACATCTGCATTACCTTGTGGACCCAGAACCACATGGGTTAATAAACCCCCCAGCGAACTCCATCTGTCTGGGTGTTTAAGACTCATCCATGAAGGAGTCTTTCTTTTTGTCTCGGGAATGTACGCAGTTTTCCATGTATCTGCTCTTTTAGGATGAGTATCGTGTCATAAAATCTCGACTGTAGCACTGGACATTTCCCCCCCCAGGATTACCACCGACCTTCTGTTGAAGAAATTCTTGAGAATCCTCTGATAGCAGACCTGGTTGCAGAAGAACAGAGAAAAAATCCCGAGAGAAGAGGGCGCCGATTAGAGCCAGAGAAGCGCCAGGACTCCAGCCCGGTCTTGGGAGAGCTCAGACTGAAGGAGCGTCAGCTGCAGGAGCGAGAGCGGGCCCTCCAAGCCCGAGAGGAGAGGCTGGAGCGTAAGTCCGCACGGGGCCGAGCTCGGGAGAGCTCCGCACGGTTTCCTGGTGTGTTCGATCTGCTTGAATGGAGTATGTGACACGCGTATGTTCTAGAACATTCCTGTAAATACCTGAGAACCCGAACCATGTCTCGTGTGACAGTACATGAGGAGTGCCGGCACCTGCATGCTGAGTCTCTTTCTCTGAGCTCGGTCACTTCGACCGGCGGTCACTGTGACCCTGACCACCCTACCGCAGGAGCCATCGCACTTTCCCTTCCTCCGCATCTTTATACCCTACATTTTTTCCCATTATAAAAGAGCATTTGTGCATTTGCTGCTTCCGTAATAAAAGCCATCACTTCCACTTTCTGATCTGGCTGAGCCGGCACAGTCCGGATGTAAAATCCTGGCACGCGGAGGGCCTTGATGTGTTCGGGCAACTGAGCCGAGCACACGGTGTTCGAGGCCCACAGACACCCTGAGGGGCATTAACTGACCAGGTGCTAATGAGTTCTTGACATTGAAAGTCCGTCTACTCCCCTCAAGTACGGTGTGGGGTAGCAGCAGCCTGGGGGCCTCACGTCAGCTTTTTCCCGTCAGGCCACCCTCGTGGCTCAGCTGACTTGGCTTCTTCAGCTGCGTGTTCGATGCCGACTCTAGACACGTTTCTGTTCAAATGAACTTAGAAAGCATCCAACGCAGTCATCTCAGTTTTTACCTCCTGATGACGGCCGTAGCATGCTGTGAGATATGCTTTCTGTGGTAAGCACTTTCTGTGCTTACCCAGAAACCTTTGCCTGAGGCTTCTGTCAGTAGAATTTGTCAATAGAATTTGTCAAACAAACAAATCTTTATTAAAACTTCCCCCAGCGTTCTGCAGTTTCTTACAGCAACTGAAATCCGAACTTCCTGAATTCTGGGCCATAGATTAAAAAATGTCACTGATCTAAAGAAGTACCTCCACATTAGTTGTGGGTTTTGTTTTTTTCTTCTCCCAGAAGGAGAAGGAGGGTTTGTCCCATGAGGTCAGGTAATGCCCGGAACGTGGACCGTTGCCCATTCTCAGTGGAGAGCAGAGATGACTTTAGTTGTTTATTTTCCCAAAATGAGTTCCTCTCGGACAACCTGACCAAAGGTGGAGGCCAACTTCGTATTTGTGCCCAAACCGGTCCTTCTGCGAAAGCCTGCGGCGGCCCCGCACACGCTGAGGTGCTGGATCAGAACCCAGCACAGCAGGCTGACGGGGTTTCTGGTCACAAAACTTCCACGGCGCCCCTGAGGCGCGCTGGTCGTGAGGAGACGTGAGGCCGGGCGGTGACCGGGTGTGAGCTGCCTTGGGCCCGCCGCCTCCAGTTAACATGGCTCTCGCTCCTTTGCCTTTTTAAAGAGAAGGAACGGGAGCTCTGTGTCCGGGAGAGACTGGCAGAGGACAAGCTGGCGCGGGCAGAGAGTCTGCTGAAGAACTACAGTCTGCTGAAGGAGCAGAAGTTCCTGCGTCTGGCGAGCGGTCCAGGTATGAGAATCGGCTCCGCCAGCAGGAGCGGCCCCCGCAGATACAGGAAGGGCGCCCGCGTCGCCGCCCTGGGGCTTTGATAAGCGACTTTTAACTGACCAAGTCTCCTGTTTTAACACGGAATTAATTGAATATACGCATTTCGATGGAAAAAATGATTCGGTGATGGCAGTGATTTACTTCATGGGTTCACAGACTTGAGGCGATGAGTCATCATGATTTCGTCTTCAATTTTATTTACTTCATCAAACTACGTGTTTAGTTTTTGAGACTTGGTTTTAAAAGTTAGGACATTTTTTTAAATGGGTATATTATCAAAACTCTACCTTTCTACCCCAAACTCTATACTACCAAAACTCTACATTTCTCCCCCATTTTCAAGCAGAAATCCCAGCATTTAACTCCCACCGCGTGAGCAGGTCACACGTGCCACCTCCTTTACAGAAGTTATGGCTTAACAGGTGTGATAAACCGACCGTAGAATAGGCCATCACTTTTGGATCTTTGCAAAGACCCCTTCACGTTGAAACGTGTGTTTGTCAGAATGTGGTTGGTTGATCTCTCCATGCGCTGCTTGTGTTTCTCCCATTACTCGGCGTCGTTGGCGGACAATCAGCCTTCCCAGGGCCCTGCCTGTGCGGCCCTTGTGCCCTCGCTCCGCTCTGTGAGGACCCCCCACCCCCCGCCGTGGGCCAGCTCTGACGGGCCTTCTCTACTCCACAGAAACCCTACCTCCACCTTAATCTAGTCTTTAAGATGACAGGAAAAGCACAGTGTTAAACCTCTTTTCTCTAAATTTCTGTATGACATAAATTTTTTATAGAGTGTTTTTATTTTCGTTTTAAAAATCGAGTATCTGAATTTTCCGGTGAAACAGGCAGAGTTCTCTTATGGCTTCCTACTACCCTGGAGGGCAGCACTGGAGAAGGCTATCCCTTCCATCTGCAGTAAACTGACAGAGAATCTGGTTACTTCAGTGAGAGTGACAGCATTTTGTTTATGGAACAGACCAAAAAAACTACTTAAGTTAATCTTATGGTCATAATGACATGATAGAGATACGTGATGGAAGTGAATGAAACAAGAATTATTTAAAACTTGGGCTTCATCTCTTTGGAAATATCTTCTTTTTCCTCAATGTTACTACCTACCATTTCAGTAGTTTTAGAATATTTATTCCAGTTTTTCCCTTAATGCCACCCACAAAGACAAAGTAGGCTGGAATTATGATCACTGTGGTAGAGGCAGGAGACATTTTTATCCGGGTGAGTTTCACGCATCAAACCTGTTGTTCAGAATTCTTGAAGGTTCTGCCGGGTCTGCTCCTCCGGGGAAAGAGCTTATTTCTGTCTTGCCCTGAGAGTCTTTGAACAAAGTCTGGAAAGAGCTAGAGCAGGATGATGTGTTTCAATATAGGATATAGAAATATAAATATATGTATTTATATATATAATTTAATATATATTTGTATATAATATATAAATTTTAAATATATATTGTAAATTGTAAATATATATAAATATACAAATTATAAATATATAAATAATAAACATATAAATTGTATATATAAATATAGAAATATGCATATTTCTATATGCATATTTCTATATAATCCAAATATGCATATTTCTATATATATATAATATATATATATTTTTTACCTACCTACCTCAATGCAAGTCATGGCGAACACTTGAAATGAGCTGTAGGAATCAAGGACCCCCACCCCTGGGACTAGGAGCTACTTGATGGTAGAGAGCACTGAGCACATCAGTCATAAACAAAGCAGGGACAAATGGGTGCCCTTGTGCACTCAGGACGGTTAGAAAGATCCTCTCTCTGCCTTCAAGCTATAAAATTCTAATCAGAGGAAAGTATAATATATCATCATCCCAGTCAGCAGCAGCATCTCTGTAAATGCTCTTAGTCTATTTAGTGAAATGTTAACTCATTTTCACTTAGTGAAATACGAATTCTTTTTCTCAACACTTATTTCTTCTAAAATTACCCTATTCGTTAGATCTACAAGTTGATGGTTTATGAAGACAGAGATTTGTTATAATAAAGGTGGACATCTTTGAAGCAGTAGAGTTAAGGTCTGAAAGCCAAGTTGGCTTTGCAGCTGGAACAGGCACAAGGTATGTCCTGGGAAGTCCCAGGACAACTAGAGGGCAGCGCTTCTCTCTGCAGACTGCCCCGCCCTACTCCCTACCTCACCCCCCGCTCCCATCCTTGCCCCAACACCAGCTGGACGCCAGAACCTTTCCATTTCTTGGGCTTAGAGCGTCTCCTCAGAGAGCCACATGGATTCTCACCTCCTCCCTTGCATCAGGTCTGCTCACAAGTCACCTTCATCCTTGTAAACACCATCCAGCCCTTCTGTCTCCCTTTCTCTGTGCCCCCGCCCGGCCCACATCACCTCAACTATTACCCCTGTGTGCTTGTTTACTTGTTTATGGTCTGTCTCCTCCTACGAGAATGGGACCTTTGTTTGGTCCACAATGGCCCATACAGTGATCTCAGTAAATATTTGAACATAGTTCCTTTAAAAGAACACAAAGGAAAAATAGAAAGTTTCTGGAATTCAAAACTGCAAGTCCCCAGCCCCCAGATAGTTCAGTCAGTAGCTAATAATGTAGCCACTTCAAGTACATTTTTCTTCATATAGAAAACACAATTCACAGTTTTCACTACACCGTTAACTTGAATTACCTTTTCCAAGCTGAATTTGCCTAGATTCTTTTTGAAATAATTTTCTGCTCAATTAAGCTGCCTTGAAATAAGTGTTCTTGAATATTTAAGCAAAACTATACATGTTCTCTGTAAAAAAACAAACAAAAATCCAACCTGCTTCCTTACTTTTGTGAAAGTTATGTGTTCTAAGTAGAATAACACTTGTTTTCAAGAATAGAGATAAATCACATCGATTTCCAGAGGTTTTACATTGTGGCCTGTAATCCCCAATGCACTTAACCTTGAAAGAAGAGTTGGCTGTTAAGAGACTATGGTCCTTGGCACATTCCAGGATCAAGTTTTTCAATGCTGTGGGCTAAAAAATGGATTGATTTCTGCCAGCATCAAGCCCACAACCTCCTATCCCAGAGAAAATAGCACAGGTCCCCAGATTTCCAACGTGAATGGAAAGAATAAATGTTTTTGAGAAGTCTGGTAAGTACGGAGGAGTTGAACTTAAAACCCTTTCTCTTTGCTTTCTAAAGAACTTTTCGATCTTCCATCCTCGATAATTAAGAAGAAAGTTCATTTCAGTGGTGAAAGTAAAGAGAACGTCATGAGGAGTGAGAATTCTGAGAGTCTGCTCACCTCCAAATCCAAGTGCAAAGACCTGAAGAAAAGGCTTCATGCTGCTCAGCTCCGCGCTCAAGCCTTGTCAGATATTGAAAAAAATTACCAGCTGAAAAGCAGACAGATTCTGGGCATGCGCTAGCCCAGCAGAGAGCCCCAGAGCTGTGTACAGTGTGTAACCTTGCCTACCTTTTAAAGATTGATATTCAACTGCTGTAGCTTTACATACTCGGTTCCATGAGCCATGCCTTTCTGTATAGTGAGCAAGATATTTTAGAATTACTTTGGTTGTTCTTTACAAAATGTACACACCTTTAATTTTTCTTTCTTTATAGAAAGAATGACATTTTCTTGGTGGGTTGGGCTTTTAATCCTGAGTGTGATTACTACTGGAACATGAAATACGACATTCTAAATGTTGGGGGGAAATAATGTTAGGAAAAAAAATAGCCAGGCGTAGCACTTAGTGAGAAGTTTTAAATGACTGAGTGGTGTTCTGACAGTTGTCGTGCCTCATTGTAAGGTTTTAGATGTTCTTGAGCTTACAAAACCTAATTGGATACAAACCGGCCACTAATACTGCGACCTCTTGTTTATAAGTGTCCCACTGGTCTGCAGTGGAAATGTGTCCCCTTTTGTGAAATTCATCACTGTGATGTCTATATTCTTCCTTTTTATTCTATTTAAGAGTGTTTCAGCTGGCTGTCGTTTACCACCTGTTTCTCACTAAATAAAAGAATGCTTTAGTTTTCCTATATTTATGTCTCTTGCATTTATTGATCTCTCAGTGGAGGGTGTCTGTGTCTGTGCTTCCTGGGCCCCAGCAGGCGGAGGAGAGAACATGTGTTTGACGCTCATGAGAGCCAGGATGGTATTTTACTCCCCATCTCATTCATCCATCTAAGCCAGTCATCCTGAACTAAGGCCCGCCCCCGGTGGACATTCGGCAATCTTGGAGACGGAAACTGTAATGGTTGCAGGGAGGGCCCTACTTGGATCTAATGGGCAGAAGCCGGGGCACTGCTCAATGTCCTACAATGTGTGGGACCACGCCCGCCACAAAATGTCTATTAATAGTGCCATTCCTTTTTCTTTCTCCCTTCCTTCCTTCCTTCCTTCCTTCCTTCCTTCCTTCCTTTCTCTCTCTCCTCTTTCTTTCTTTCTTTCTTTCTTTCTTTCTTTCTTTCTTTCAATAGTGCTACTCTTGAGAAATCTGATGGAGGCTAAAACTTGCTGGAACATACCCCACCCTTTCAAGAAACTTAGCTTGGATGGATTCTTTTTTTTACATGTCTGACTTAATACAAATCAGCAGGGCTGGCCATACCCCGCACAGTTTGTGATGGGTTCCTAGCAACTCTAACCTTTCCAGCTTCATGAAATGAGACCGAATTATGAGGGGTTAATGATACATGGGAAGAAACCGCTCCTTTATTGGCTATTTTATGGCTGATTTATTACACAGTTGATAATGCAGTTCCAATAAAGACAAATGATACTATCGAAACGATACTATCGAAGCATAGATACTATTTATAAGGTCTCTCTGCTTACAGTGTTATTTGTTATTTAATGTTTGAAGTAAAGAAAAGATTGTGAATTATTAGCATGAATTTAGCACTCCTCTTATATCATGCCATGGCAGTTTTAAATGTAAACAGTGCATTTTGTGCATGTGTAGAATCTGTATTTTGTGGCTCATCCGGGTGGGTGCCTCAAAGCTGAGCATAAGAGACACACACTGATCCCTGTGACTGGCGTCTAGGGACCCCTGGCTGGGTGCTTATCCAGTTCCTCATCCCTCCAGACTCCAGACCTGCCTAGTGTCAGGTTGGAGCAGCCGAGCCAGGCATCGACCCCTCGGACCCACGTACAGCAGATAGGTCACTCCTAAGCATCCTTATACCTCTAAGCTTGGATTTTCTTGGTACCTGGATAAGGGTTCTTGGATCGCCCCTGTCAAGATAAGGTCTCCAGTGGTCACCCACCAGCCTTGCCATGGAGTTGCCAGCCTGGGAGGTGGGGATGGGGAAGGCCTGGGGCAGGGGGGACACTGCTCTCATGTCCCATCCCGCGAGGCCTCAGGCCCCCAATCCTGACCTCTCCTTTGCCCATGTACAGGCCCCTCTGGAAGCAGAATGTGTCAGTGGTCATGGGACACAGGTAAGATGGGAAAGCCGGAGGGGGCCTGGTGCATCAGGGAGTGGGGGAGCTGGTAGTGGGAGGCAGGCCCTCCAAGGAACTTAGGCTCTAAGCCCCTGTGGGTGCCGTGGTCCCATCAGACTTGACTTTAAAAAACACACATCCAAAGATACAATGATTCAAATTTTCAAGATTGCAAGCAAAGAGCTTTAAACCCTGGGTCCCAGGCCCCTTCTGAGAGCCACGTCCTCCTATGTGTGCGGCCTGGATGTCTGCACCGGTCTCACCCTCAGGAAACCCTTGCTACCTTGGGAAAACATTTTCCTTTTCATTTTTGAGTCTGTGATGACTTTCCCCACCTCAGACTCCACCTTCACTTTCATTCCTTCTTCATTGAACCAACAATTATTGAGCACCAACTGTAAGCCAGGCACCGGTTTCAGGCCCTGAAGATACAGCAACGGAGAAATATGGAAATCCTTGCCCTCCTGGAGATTCCATTCAAATGGGGCCAGAGAGGAAACAAGCACGTACATGATGTGCTTGTTCTAAGGAGCAGAGTGACTTGGAAAAGGGGAGCAGAGGGAACCGGGGTGCGATTTTAGAAGAGATAGTCTTTAGTGTGTAGGATGAGAAGGAGGCTGACTGTAGGTTAGGATTTAGGTGGGGCTGGGGGAGAAAAGGAAGGGCGAGTTTTGAGTGATGCAGGGGGAGAAGAGAAGAAGGCCAGGACAGTAGGGGGGTGGGAAACAGCAGGACTGGGAATCACGCAATAGCACAGAACTTGAAAAGACACAGGCACTTGGAAATTAAGCACAGACGTTCTCACCGGCTTGTGCTAACGCTAATAAAAGCTTGCTTCCTGCTCACCTCTAAAGCTGGGAAAGCCTGGGATTTTGGGCAATGATGAAAGGTGATCTCTAATGGCGGGAAGGGGAGAGCGCTCCCATATGATCTTTCTCTGGCAACTCTAAGACCCTTTTAAGATCCTTTGCTGGACACCAATCCCATACTCACCATTACAGACTTTACATATTTAAACAACGAGCTTTATCAAGCACGGTTGGTTCCTGGGCATTGGGATAAAAAGGGTCTTTGGATCTGAGGGCGATTAAGTACTGCTGTGAGCAGCAGCCACAAGGTGGCGCCATGGCTCCATTAGACCAGACGTCCGACGCGGGCCTGCGGCCTTGGCAATCGGTAGTTACGGAGAGATTCCTTGGCACGCTTTGGTTAAATGTCTTATTCCTGTTATTTCATCCAGTTCTCACAACGCCCCCTGAGAAATGAGCTAATGATGCTCAGGGTTCGCAGCTGGGGAGACGCACAGCTGGTTTCTGGACTGTTCTTGACTCCATAGCTCATGGTCCTGAGTACACCCTCCACTGCCTGCCTGCACAAGACCGCAAAGGGTCCGTTCTGTCCCCAAACCATGTCGTTTCCTGTAAGGATGGGGGGTGGTCACAGTCCCTGGGCTTTAGCAAGGACATCTGCATAACCAAGGGAGTGGGGAGTGGAGTAGGCATGGTAGGGCCCAGTGGCCTTTCCTATCTGTGTGCTGGGACGGACAGGTTGGTGTTGGGGGAGGGAGGCAGAGAGGTGGCTTTCAAGGGATCCCAGTAGGACCCCAGGCCTAATGGCTTCAGACCAGTCACTTTACTTCCTTTCCCCAGCATCTTCCATTCCACCTCCTGGCGCTCCACGCCCTCCAAAGCCCAGCCTAGAGGCCCAGCTTCCTCTGCAGCCCTCGGCCCGCCCTCCCCTTGGGTATTTGAGGTTTCCAGCTGACCTTTGGCCTTCCAGGACAAAGCCCATTTCTCTAGGCCGGCTGGTTCCCTCAAAGACTGGAGGGAAGCCTGCCCCCTGCAATGAACCGAGGATGTTCTGTAAAAGGTGACACAAGGCAGCTGTTTAAAAAAGAATGAGAGGGGCGCCTGGGTGGCTCAGTGGGTTAGAGCCTATGCCTTCAGCTCAGGTCATGATTCCAGGGTCCTGGAATGGAGCCCCGCATCGGGCTCTCTGCTCAGCGGGGAGCCTGCTTCCCCCTCTATCTCTGCCTGCCTCTCTGCCTACTTGTGATCTCTCTCTGCGTCAAATAAATAAAGTCTTAAAAAAAAAAAAAGAATGAGAATTTCTGTGGCCCATCAAGAGAGAATGCTCGTTCACTGTGACCGGGTGGCTGGGAAGACAGGCTCCATGTTGGATGGATGGCTTTCACCGAGGAGGAGGAGGGGAGTGGCCCTCCCAGACGGATGGCTAGCCGATGGAGGCTGGGGGTGTGAGGCAGGCCTTCGCCACCACCCTGGGTCACTCTGCCCCGCCCCCACCCCCAGGGAGGAACAGAGGTCAGCCTCTCCGAAGCCTCCTACCTCTGAAAGGTTGGGTTCCACACCGCCTTCAGAGGGCCCAGTAGGGGCACCCTTGCTTACTTCACCGAGGCTCCTCGGCTACATTTCTGAGGCCACAACCATGGCAACTCTGCTTGAGCTGCTAAAACCCCAGGCTTGTGAGGCTGCCCATCACTCCCTACAACTGCCCAGCCAGGGAGCAAATATCCCCTCCTCCCACCTGCCCAGACTTTCTCTGAAGCAACACACTGGCCCTTTGGATGCAACGAGGCATTCTGCAATCTTAGTCACACATTCACAGGACATGTTCACAGTGGCTGACTTTATTCACTACACTGAAAAAAATCAGTCTTCCCTTAAATTATGAAGTGATAACATCAGTGTAAAAAGCTCTCACAGTATGGAAGTATATATAGTAAAAATTAAGCAATAAAAAAGTTCTGTCACCCGTAACCCCATTATCTCTCTCTCTTTCCAGAAGTAGCTGTTAATAATTTGGTGTTTGAGGCTTCCTTTAAGACCTGTGTATGTGTGTGTGTGTGTACACGTGCATGCATATGACTGTGTATTTAAAAAACACAAATTGGGGGCTCCTGGGTGGCTCAGTCCATTAAGCGTCTGCCTTTGGCTCAGGTCATGATCCCATGGTCCTGGGATCGAGCCCCGCATCGGGCTCCCTGCTCAGTGGAAAGTCTGCTTCTCCCTCTCCCTCTGCCTGCCACTCTGCCTACTTGTGCTCTCTCTGTCAAATAAACTAAAAAAAAAATTAAAAAAAAAAACACACAAATTGGATCTTAATACATATACTGTG